ACAGGCTGCCCAGGGAAGTGGTTGAGTCTCCATCCCTGGAGGTATTTAAAAGACGGGTAGACCTGGTGCTCGAGGACATGGTTTAGTGATGGACTTGGCAGTGCTAGGTTAACGGTTGGACTCGATGATCTTAAGGGTCTTTTCCAACCTTAACGATTCTGTGGTTCTATGAAGAACATTTTTTTTTAAGTTATTTCATTAGTGAGTCAGGTGGGCTCTGCCCGCTGCTGAGCCTGGAGTACCACGAAAGGATCTCATCGTTCTCACTGCCTGTTAATGCTAGATAGTGATTCCTATCTCTCAATGCTCTTTGTAAATCTCTAAGTTACGGGATCCTAGTGGCGTGTAACAAGGCATTTGTCAGCTAAACAAGCCTGCAGGTATCTGGATGTGAAACTTCTAGATACAAATCAGCTTTAAAAAAAAGCTAAATGGTTACGGGATCCGTTGAATACGTCCTTTTTTGAGTAAGTGCCTTTAGGAAAGTAATGAAGTCTTTCAAGTTACAGAATGACGAAAAAAATTTGTATCAGTGTTTTGATAAGAAGAGGCATTTTGTAGAAAGGAACTACTGTGTGTAAGTTTGACATGATTGGATCTCTTTGGAGGTCATTTATTATTGGAAGGAATATCCCGCTCTTCTGTTGTGGATGTGTATCTATATAGTACGTATAGATACATGCACACACGGACAGTCTATATATAGCAGTCTGTTTGTCCCAGCTGAACTTCTGTTTGTCCACAGGCTCTTGTGATAGCTGGGATCTCCCTTCAGACGGCTAATTTATACGGCTACATCCACTGCAAATTAGGGGGACAAAAAAGCATCAGCGGAATAACGTCAAGGTTTTTTGTCACGGCGGATGTTCCCAAGAGTAAGTAGTGAGGTGGTCCGTCAGCTGCAGCCCGCGCAGTGTCGCGCTCCGACCTGCCTCGCGCTCTTCGTTTTGGCTCTGCCCAGGTCTTAGCTCCTAAGATAACTCCTGGCAGGGCCGTCTTGGTTCTCCCGTAAGCCTCTCTGGTGGAACCCGCTCGGAGGGGCCGTGCCCCACGTCACCCCGGGCAGGGGTGCAATCACAGTCCCTCGAAGCGTTCAAAAACCATGTGGATGTGGCGCTTAGGGACAGGGTTTAGAGGTGGACCAGGCCGTTAGGTTAACGGTTGGACTCGATCTCAGAGGTCCTTTCCACCCTTAATGATTCTGTGATTCCTTGACTTTGCTGTGTTCTGAAGCCTCTGAAGCTTCTCAGCGGAGCTGCTTCCAAGCCCCATGCAGAACATCCTCTAAGTTAAATCCTTGGCGGGACACCTCCCAAGGTGTTACAACGCCTCTGCCCAGGCACAGCTGGGAGCTACCTTCAACCCTCCAGCTTCCACCAGCCTCCGCCCTGCTTTTGAGAGAAGATTCCTGCGTAGGAGGTTGTGCTAACACCCACGCTCCCTGTGTTCACTCTACAGGAGAGACAAGGAGAATTGCGGAGGAGGGCATGGGAAGCCAGGCAGCGGATAATCAAATAAGGAAGAACTAAAAGGACGAGCAGGACAAATACTCATTTATGAAAGCCGTTCTTCATATGAAGGTGTTGAAGTAATGTTCTTCTAGAGTTATAAATCCGTATTATTTCATGCAGGTATGTCATTCGTGTTTGAGTCTTTAGGTTCTGAACAGTTTAGAGCCTTGGTTACTCACTTAAAAGTTTCATCAAAAAGCAGTTTGTAAAGCCACAAAACCAACGCTTACGGTTTACACAGAGCACGCTTCTTTAAGAAATAAATCTGTCAACTAACCTGAAACTGTTGGATTATCTTGAGCAAGAATTAGAATGTAATCAAAAGACGATGCTCTTTTGTTTAATTTTGGAACTACAATAAATAAAATCAAACTGCCTTTCCCTCTTGTACACAATATTGATTTCTCAAAGCTTTGATTCCTCCATGAAAAGAGGCATTACAATCACAAAGGGCCTCTTCGCTATTAAAGATACCGAATGTTTATTTTTTAGTGTTCAGGCTTAGGGTCGAGTAGAAGAAAGAACAAAAGTCACGTAGCACAGTCGCACAGCATGTGTGAAGCAGCCAGTTATGTATAAATAGTTAAAATGTTATCTTATTCTGATACTTGTAATAAATAAAATATTGTACCTGTACTATAATTAACTTGCCTAAACTCTAGTAGGTTTTTATTTTAAAACTGATGCCAATTATAAAAAAAGGAGCCAATACTCCACTGAATTTCACTCTAAATAGCCATCTTCTCCACTGAAAGGAAAGATGCTTAAGTGATGTTACTCAGTAAGAGAGGGGGCATTACAATTCATCCCAGCGCAGACGGCAGGACAAAGCCTGCGACGTGCGCGTAGCGGATGCGTTGGACACAACGCCCCAGTGCCAGCGAAGCACGTTTTATATTCAACTTGCTAAATAAAATCTTGTATTCCCACATCTCCAAACACCAACTGCGTACTGGGGTTACTGGTGTGCCGACACCAGCTGCAGACTGCGCCCATTAGCACAGAGGAAGACGCAGTTTTCTACCTTTCTAGCAAGCTTGGAGACCACCTGCAAACTGCAAGAATCTTGAACTATGGAAAAACACTAAGGCAAGAACGTTTATATTAAGAATTTATTTGCAATGTATAAAAAGAATACATTCCTTCTATTAAATCAAGGCATAAGTTACTTTGCTATAATTAAACATGAACTACATTTTTATTCCATTTGTAGGTTAGATAATCTTTTCTTCTTGAAAATGGCGTTGATCACAGTACTCCTGAATCCCTGCAAAGACAGGGCAAAAGCGATATAAACGATACTTCAGTTGCACATCAGGAGTCAGTTCTTGCACAAATATCGCCAGCTGGGCCTTCACCACAGTGTAAGTGGCACGAGGGATTTCCCAGCTGTTGGGATCACCGGCTCGTTAGGGAGCTTTGAGATGGGGTTTTTGTGCAACCACGATGAGAAGTGGAGGCAATAACCGGCCGGCTGAACCGTGCTCAGCGGCAGCGAGCACCCAACAGGCCTGCTTCAGAATCTCAGAACGTCCCTGCGAGAGCAAGGACAGGCATCTCTGCTGAGAGCCGATGACTGAAGCCAAGCGCTGAAACCAGTTACTGAATACAACTTTGTGATCGCTTTGAGAGCCTGCCATAACTGATGCCCAGAAGTGAACATAGTATTTGCATCTGCTACTTTCATAATTGCTATACACAGCTGGTTTTATTATTTGTGGCAGAACAACATAATTCTGTTTAGCACCTTTATATAGTGCAGACCTGAGAGGATCCATTTGCACACTGATTTTCAGACTTACTTTGAATGATACTCCTGTAAGACAACGTAGCTGGAGACTCAGGTGCTTCAGACAAGAAAGACTGGCCTTTGTCACAACTTTTTCCTTGAAGGAGAGGGAAAACAAGAAAGCAAAGCAACGGGAAAAGATGAGCTCTTCTTTATTTTACCCTTTATCCCACTACCAGTTATACCCTTCCAAAGGGCCACTTGCGTCTATTCCTTTCAGGAATCTTTATGTCAACAACACAACTGGAACTACAGCTTACGGTTTTCCAAAGGAATGCTACGAGCAGAAACCTTCAGTCATTCTTTTGGAAGTACAGACCCGTTCCTTGATGTCATCAAATCAAGCGTTAATTGCTAACAGCGGGCAAGGAACCAAGGCATCTCACCATTCACAACAGAATTTGGGTGGTGCCAGTAACAGCGAAGCTAAAGCACTGGCTTTAACGCTTAACGCGCACGAGGGGGTTATTCCTCAGCGTGGTTATGCTTTCATTCAGCCTGCACCTCCAGGGGATTACGCCAAAGAGAAAGACACCTTGTACTTTGAATGTGATTATACAGCTGAAAAGATGCACAATGTAACCTTAATCACGATTAAGTTTCAGCCTAAGGAAATTATCCCAGCACCTTCCTCTTTTCACACCATGCTACATTGCAGTTCCAGTAACTGTTGATAAAAACGGTAAATACCCACTTTTAGATAGAACTAAGAGACAAAACGTTTACTAATCTAATTTATCAGTGTCCAAGTCAGGGTTTTCCAGTAATAACATCAGTATAGGAGGAAAAACTTGTTTTAAACGTAGCGCAATAGAGTAACGTTACCTATTTGAGGATCTAGAGGCACTTTACCCAGGAGGGAAACATTTAAGTTCTGGCACATCTTCTCTGCACCTCCAGTAGTCGGGGGAAAGATCTGAGATTCATTCTGGGACAACACAAAAATTAGAGTTCAAATACTGCAATTCTGAGAACAAGGCATTTCTGGAGCAATGTTTTATATACAAACGACGTCAAGATTAAAAAAGCTCCAAGATACAGCCAGCCTTACCTTGCACTTTGGACATATAAAGCCGCTCATGTTTTCCACAACACCTATGATCGGCAGTTTCACTTTGTGGCAGAAGTTGATCTCCTTCCGAACGTCCTGAAGCGATACTTCCTACCGACACCAGGAAACGCCGCTATTGCAGCTGTAATGGTTTGATACTGAACCCATTAAGTTACACCCTCTGAGCTATTTTAAAGAAAGTCCATAATGAATTGTTACCGCCCTCTTTGTATTCTGAAGAACGTAAGCCTGTGTTATGTGCTCTAGCGACAACGGAACAGGTACAACAGTTCCAGCCCACTGAATGCGGTTCTGTGTTGAAATCTGACTTGGCTCTAGGAAAGATCCAGCCATATTTGTGTTTTATCTCCTATAGCAATCTCATCTCTTTAGTTCTTGAAATGTAACTTTTTCACATTTTCAGTTTACAGAAAGACCCCTGGCATTCTCAGTAGAGCAGGCAAGGAGAAGAGCCACCAGGCTTACGCTTGTTATCCCTTTTCAAATGAAATCTCAAATACCTTATCATCCTCTCAGACTTTTCAGATATATGCCTGACCCCACTCAGTTCTCCTGTTCCCTTCTCCTTCCCCCACCACGCATCTGATCTTACCCTCAACGTTTCACTTCTTTCTATTTTATTCTTTCAGCTGTTGTGGAAATACCAGGTGTCTTTTGCTAGTTTGATCTCCCGTTCCTTTCCAAACCAGGCTTTAAAACCTACATTTGAATTTGATGTATGGTGAGTTTCAGCTCTCCAGGCGCTGATTTTTCTTTTAAAAATGCACATCATGAAGTTGCCTACCGGAGGCCACAGGCTACTCTACCTGGTGTCACACAGCGCACGTCTTAGCACTTAAAAACTAAACTTGTGAACATTAAGCCGCTGGTGAGTAAACTGCAAATTCGCAATGATGTGAACTCTAATCTTGAAGAAGGAAGTGAAAGACTGCATTTCCCTTTGCCACACAGCTTTTGATTGTGAACTGCTCAGTGGTTTAGTGACCCACTCAGATCAGACAAGTGCAGGGTCCTGCACCCGGGTCGGGGCAACCCCCAGTATCAGCACAGGATGGGGGATGAAGGGATGGAGAGCAGCCCTGAGGAGAAGGACTTGGGGGTGCTGGGGGATGGAAAGCTGGCCATGGGCCGGCAATGTGCTCTCACAGCCCAGAAAGCCAAGCGTCTCCTGGGCTGCATCCCCTGCAGCGTGGGCAGCGGGGCGAGGGAGGGGATTCTGCCCCTCTGCTC